CTAAGTATAATATTTCATAGGAATTATTTAAAATTTGGTAAACAAAATGATTCTGACCTTTGACAATTAAACAAACATATCTTGGGCCTACTCAATCGACTGCAGTGTGCGAGATGCAAAGCACAAAAAACTTATCTCATTAGAGAGGGTGCACTTTATTGACTGTATTAAGTACAGTATGCACAAAAGCGGATGTGATCTACAACCTCTGAATTTGCCTAGTAATGATGAAGTCAGTAAATGGTAATCTATGAGAAATCGTGTTTATTTCTCATTTTTTTATTTATTTTTTGTGTAAAACTAAAATTTATGCCAATATTTTTCCATGGTTTATAATAATTAGAGTAATGCATATGCATTTTTTTCTAAAAAAAATCTTTTTTAGTGAAATTTTGCCGGGATTGCGGCTTTAAATTGGTGAACAATACTTAATTATATAATTTTATTAATCTTTGCTATCATCATTGTCGTTGATAGTCTTTTACCTAAATTCTCCCTATACAAATTAAATAGACTATCAATAGATGTTCAAATTATTTTTGATTGGGTTTTATTCATTCATTTTATAAAAATGAGAAATTTAATGTTTTTTCAGAAGTTAAAACAAAATAAAATACAACAAAACACCAAATTTAAAGATGAATTTATTACATTTACACCACCTGTGCAATCATGTGTGTATATATACAAAGCAATTTTGTATGTACAGTCATTTTAATGATATTTTCTTCAATATTATTGTATGGAATTATATTATAACCAAGTGTATTTACTTCAGCACTTGGAGTATATTGTTTAAAAAAGATATAAGGTTTATATTTGTGGACAATATTGATATCTCTATTACTATTCTTTTTACAAAAAAAAGAGTACAGAACAATAGAAACATCAAATATTAATGATACCAGGTAATTAAAATACAGTATCGAGTGTATTTATTTGAGGACAGGGTGTTTAATTCAATTATGATTGGTACAAAATTAAGTTAATGGGTGATTACTGTTAGGTAATCACCCATACTTATTTTTATTGATTTCACCCAGAAGTGAACAACTGTTAACTTCCCCCAAGTGGTTGTGACAACCAATGTTATCCCATGGATGCACAACTGTAAATTTATATAATTTGCAAACTTTTTTATATGGTATAAATGTACGGTTTTTAATATATTTTCTGCACGCTCTTATAAGTTCATTTTGAATATTCTTAGTCCAGTACTCAACTACCAGTGTCCATTGTATTGTAGTTTTCATGTAGTCTGGAGAACACAAATTGTAGAATTTAAAATACTTTACAGATGGTGGTTGTGGCACATTTTCTAAATAACCAGCAATCTTTACCTCCCATTGAAGTACCATACCCCTCCACAAATAATTAAATTGGACTATTATAGTACAGTACATTCCATATTTATTGATTTTAGGCTTAAATTTTTTTTTCTGATAAAAAATCTGTCAGGTATTATAAAAAAAAACATTTTTTCTGTTTGTAGGCTTTGCAATCTCTATTCACTACAACTCATTACAAAAGGTCTGTTGGTTTTACCTAAATTAATGTTATTGTACTTCAATACTCAGGAACATAATATTTCTTAATGATCTGTTGTAATCAATTGTGTGTATCGTTTATGTTATATGTACCATGGATTGTACTTAAATGCCGCTTACTTTGTGGCTTATGTTTTTTTTAATTTGTTGTGTTGAGAAATAAATGCAGTAATTAAAGATATACACAATTCTATTATTGTTTGTGAATGTTTTTATTTTAATACATGTAATTCTACAATTGAGCTGCGGCCATTTCAAAGATTCTCATTGGCATTTATTTATTTTAAATCATTCGCACATCATTCCAGATTAGCTGCATAACACGACATACTTTTTTATGACACAGCATTGTGAAGACTTTGTGGACAACAGAAATTAGTAGGTGCAGCATATCTACTGAGCTTGAGATAGGAAAACCTTGCAGCATCGATAACATTGCTCATATGCAGTTTCAAAAGCTTCTATAGGGCCCTGCAAAATATAAAAGCAATCAATTAGATTTCTACACTACATACATCAATTCTTAATTGGAGAGTAAAAAGAATCTAGCTGTATTGGTAACTACTGAGTATTGTAGTTCTCTACAAAACTCTAATACTTACAACAGAAAATAATTGGTGTATGAAATTGAAATTGTTGGGTAGTGCACTGTTGTAGCACTTGGATATATCAAGGGGCTAGCTATGCTGCATGACAGAGGATCTTTAAATCTTGTGGCAGGACACTAGTCAAGGCTCAAGGATAAATCCATGGTAGTTAAATCCTCTTGGCTGACACAGCACATAGGAAATGCAAGTTTAGGCCATTTTTAAGCTATTCAGGTGTTTTCGTCTTATCCTACAAGGGCTTCATTCCCTGCCCCATGCTTGTTGTGCGGCCACTGACGGTAGTGGGTGTGTGTTCGGTGGGTTGTTGAATATTGTGCAGTCAAACCTTGATCTGCAGATGCCAATACCCACTAGTAGTATATATGGAATAAACTGATATAAATAACACTATGACATATTACTTACTGGATAAGGGTCAATTATAGTATTTGTACTCTTGTCCGTGTCCAAATCACCTAATAATATTAACTCGCATGTACTCTCTTTTGGCTTGCGTTTTTTCAGTTGCCTTAAACAAGAAAATCATAACAAATCTTATTTTTATAAATTAAAATCCAGTGAAAAGTTAGTAGTACTATAAGTTAAAAGTAATCCACAATAAAATATTGTGACTTTGATTATATTTTTTATTACATATTAAAAACAAATCAATAAATTTAAAATATTTATAAAACCTTGGAATTATATAATAATTATTACATATACAATATAAATATTAAAACATTTACAAACTGTAGACTATGAAGAACCAGATATTTTAAAACTATCATACAGAAAGAAAAATAAATATCCATTTAAGAATTTACTTTTGATACACAAACTACTTACCTCATATTATCATCATCAAAGCCAAAGATGTAATGAAAATCGTAGAAGTCCTGTGTAGATATCTGCAAATTTAAAGAAATAACAAAATATTACTAGTATTAATTAATAATTTTTTTTTTGAGACATTCAGTGCAGCGGTGGCTTCAGGAATTGGACGTTAAGGGGTCCGACGTGTCCAACAAAGGGGTCCACACCAAGGCTGACTAGAGTTTGGTCAGGTTCCCAGAAGAAATAATGCGTGTAGGGTTCAGAGGGAGAGTTTTTATGGCTTAATATGGTCCAAATTATGCTTTTAGACTGCAATATTAAGGATTGGCAATCAAATAAACATTATTTGGATAGGCATTATTATAATTTTTTTAATTTTTTATGTGATGACCTTGTTGTGGCGTGGGAGGACAGGGGGTCTAGGCCTGTCCGAGGGAGGGCAAATGCTCTCCCGCCCCTTGCTGGCGCCACCATTAGTTCAGTGCTCATGATCCTTACATAAAATTATTAAATGGTACAGAAATCCTGCTTTCAAAACTTGGGTCGGCAGGGTTGTCAAACCGTCAATTCAGTCAGTAATAGGTTAATGAAATAGCCATCCAATACCACATCTCTGCCTAGAAAGTAGTAGCTATATTATTACATAGGGAATGAAAGTGTAATTTTAAAATACTTCAAGCCGGAAATATAAAATAATGCAGCACTGATTGACTTTCTGATGGGAAATGGTTATTTGTTTCATAATTTAGGTGCAGCAACTAGGAAACATATAATAATAGAAAAGTACCAAACAATGAACTGCTTAAAAAACCCCAAAATACTGTATAATAATATAAAAAAAATATATAATATAATATGATAAACACTTATAATTTAATACTGTAATATGTTTGTTTGTATATTGATGCATAAAGGCAATAAATTCACCACGAAAGAGAGAGAGAGAGAGGGGGAGAGAGAGAGAGAGTGAAAACAAAGATATTACAGTAAGCCCCAATGCCCTCCTTGAGTTTCTGTAGACTGTGTATGTGCCAGGGGAATAATTTTTTTTTAGTACGAGCCATTTTGAGGAGAGGGAAAAATCTGATCGATGTGAAATACCTGCCTGTCTAGCTTTATGACTGCTCGGTTTGCTGTTATGCTTTGTCAGTGTTTCATTTGTCAGATCATAAGGTGTGTTACCGATATTATATGTTGCTGTAGCAGCACTGTCTATCTTCCACTGGTCTGAGGTTCCCTTCTCCTCTACCAATTCACGAAGAATCTGCTCTGCCATAACTGACCGACAAATATTGCCTGGATTTATAAAGAAACAAATAATAATCTTCTAAAATCGTGTGTGTGTCATGTGTCATGTCACTGTCTCTTATACACATCTGTGGGTTGCTCGATATCAGTTAAGGGGACAATATAATTCGCTAAAAAAGATGATTTTTGGTGGTTTTTAACTACTTGACCGTGATTTTAGGGGGGAGGGCGCGAGTAATTTTTGGATGGCGTGTAACCCCTAGACACGCCACTGCAAGTAACTATACAATTTGTATAAAGTTACTTGGAATTTACTTAATCTACTTAATTTCATATAGAGAGTATTAACAAAATTGAGGTAATCTTTAATAATTAGATTATGTAGGGAGTTGTGTGGACACTCAGTGGTGTATCTCCCAGAAGAGAGGAGTTTTGAGGCACCTTCAGGGAAAATACGCCACTGCGGACAACCGGCGTTAGGCCCTTGCTAGGAGATACACAACAAATATCTCCGGCTGACTTTCACTTGGGCAAGGCTTAGCTAGCGTACGCAGCAAAGGAAGAATCCTGCGGCAATGGGCAAATTTCTGTAACTTATTGCAGATGTTTCTAGTATCGATATACGAGACTAAATAAGACATCATGTATCCGGCCATTTTGAAGGCTCTGTAGAAACCTATACTGTATGTTTATTTCTACAAATTTTCATATTTACCAAGGCAAACAAAAAGAGCAGACTTTTTACTTTCACAGGCCATGTTCGCCATCAGTTTGTTGTGATAAAGCGCCCTCTTGCGTCGTTTTTAAGTTACATTTGGTGGTTCATCATGGTTACACACCCTAGCCCCGCCCATTTTTAAAAAATAGCACACCACCACACACATACATAAAAAAATAGCATCCATTGATTAATCAATTTATTTTCATTGATTCATTGATTCGTGTATTCGGTGAAAATTGACAACATAGAGTTACAATACTTTAAAGAAAAACTAAAATGTAATGGAAATGTGGTTTGAAATAATGTAAGCTATGATAGGTCAAAAAATAACTAATAAACTACAACAAAATAACACTCACGTTAATAAAAAAAAATAAACACCATAAAACAGTTTTTGTCTACTGAAAAATGATGTCAATGCCAGCATCAAGTTTGATCATTGTTTCCTGATAAAACCACTTCAAACCAACGGATTCTTTAGAATAGCCTACCATAGGTAATTCCGTACTGACATATGCATCCTTTTTTAGTTAAATTATACAGTACTAGTAAATGCAAGACACAGGAAAATTCAAGTTCACTGCAAAATTTAATTCATATATTTTTCTTTATAACAAATGACACATTTGCAGTAGTATTATTACTTTCCCTAATTTGATTTTAATTTATTCATTGTAGGCTTACACACATACAGTGAATCAGAAGAAAATAAATGCTATTAAAATATAATAAAACCAGTATGTGGTAACCCAAAAAGCCTGGAGAATATTTTTCCATCAATAATAAGTAAAATTTCAACATGGTTTAAATATCAATTTTAAAATGCAAATGTTCTCACACAATCGATGGAATCACTATGTTCGCTGGTGGCGCTGTTTCAAAATATACAGTAGTGCTGCAAAAAATCTACCTTACATGATGGACAAATTGACAATGTTACTTATGTGATCAGATAAAACAGATGTATTTGCCACTAACCTCAAAAATCTACTTCATATAATATTAATGAAATCGCATAGTTAAGTGCACTATTTATATAAATCCAGGTACTTGTTAATATAATTATCTTACAGACAATAATGTGTCTTGGATCTGCACACCAAACCTTGCACTCGGTTATATTTTTATATTTTATAATTTAAAATCGGTTAAAAGAAACATAAATGTTAGCTTCTTCCTCAGTCTACTGAGCTTGTGAAAGGAAAACCTTGCAGGCTCGATCACATTGACCATATGCAGTTTCAAAGGCTTTTACAGGTCCCTGCAAAAGAATAAAACAAAAGTATAAATGATTCTATTAAACTAACCCCACTGTTCTATTTTCTGTGGTTTGTGTGTTCTGGGGTGTGTCCTGTGTTTTGAGTGCATCCTGTCTCGTGTGTGTGTCATGTGTCATGTCACATGTTGTGAGTGGGTATGTGTCCTGTGACTTTTGTGTAGGCTAGTTCAATGATGTGGCTATAAAAAGGGAAGGTGTAATTGGTGGTCAAGCTTTTTTTCTGATTTCATACTTACTGGATAAGGGTCAATGATGATATTTGTACTCTTGTCTGTGTCCAAATCACCTAGTAATATCAACTCACATGTACTATCCTTTGGCTTGCGTCTTTTCAGTTGCCTATATAAAACAAAGTAGATAACATGGTGACTATAGATTTCTTTCCTTACTATTACCAGTGGAGTGTGCCCTAAACATTTCGCCAGGCCAATGCAGTGGCGTATCTAGGAATCTTAAAATGGGGGATGGGGTGTGGGGGCTGATAGGCGAGGAGGTGCCAGCTTGTAAAATAAGGTGATTATTTTAAATGGGGGGGGGGGGTGGGGGGGCGGATAGGCGGGGGGGTGCCAGTTTGTAAATTAAGGTGATTTGCAGTGATTTTCAACCACTTGAGCATGACTTTTTTTTGGGGGGGAGGGAGAGGAGAGCTATTTTTTGGGGGATCGCCCCCCCCCCCAAAGCACACCCTAGATACGCCACTGGGCCAATGTAAATATCAAAAGGGGTCTATAAACATTGTACCAATAATTTCTAGTAAATACCAACCTTAATGACAATACCAATCACCTTTTAAAAAAAAAACTACAACTTAGTTAACATAAAGACATACAGTTATGAACAAATCAATGAATGAAATGAATGAAATCAATAAATTTGTAATTTCCATTCACTAACCTCATATTATCTTCATCAAAACCAAAGATATAGTGAAAATCGTTGTAGTCTTGTGTAGTAATCTGCAAAACAAACAACAAAAATCATTATGACAACAACTTAACAGAATCTGCCCAACTCGGAAATTCTGTGGCAAAACAACGTAACTTGAAATTTTCACTTTTGGAGAAAAATAGATCTAAAGTTTGCATGTTCGAAACTTTGCAATAAATTGTCGTACCCTTTTGAAATTTAGCAGGATTGTATATCTATAGACAGTATGATTATATGTGAAATTATTATATGTGAAATTTTAAATACAACCATTTGTTTATTGCAAAGTTATTAGCGACAATTTTAGATACCTTGTTTTTGCCTCAGAAACATATCAGGTATTTTTGAAAGTAAGACATATTTTTGGAATTTATCACGTTTGGGGCAATCATATGTATTACCTAGCTTGTTCATACATCGCTGTTAAGATTATTGATGTAAAAACACCAATAACCATTTGATTTTGCCTTACCAAACTCCATCAGCTCATCAGAAAATTTTTTAATACCATTCCGAGGCAAAACAACGTATTTTCATCGTAGATATGTTGTTTAGCCCCGTAATCTTGTAGTTACCTTGAATTGCAATGGGAAACTATATCTGAAACTACTCATTATTGAGGCCTGAAATTTTCACAGGTAATTCAGACGTGTTTAATATACTCCCAAATGATATCATCTCAAAATGGACAAAAATATCAGTTACGTTGTTTTGCCTCGAGATGGCCGAACATATCTGTTCTTTATAGGTATACTAAACGACAATCATCATTAATTTTATGATCTGTAATATATTATGTATATAAGTAGGTTATCTTTTAATGTAATTTTCGTGAGGACAAATCAACTTGATCTTAAAAATAAAAGGAACATTGTCTTTCCATTTTAACAGGGAATTAATTCTGCATTCTGAATTTTTTCACCCCCTGTCCAAAAACCAACCTATACCTCTGTGCAGTTGCCCTACATTGAGCAGGGCTTCTATATTCATCCCTGGGTACATCATATGTTTGGTTGTACCTGTCTTGCTATATGACTGCTTGTTTTGCGATTATGTTTTTTCAGCGTGTCATTTGTCAGCTCATAAGGTGAATTTCCTATCTCCCAAGTTGATGTTGCAGCACTGTCTATATTCCACTGGTCTGCAACCCCTTTCTCCTCTACTAATTCACGGAAAATCTGTTCTGCCATGACAGACCGACAGATGTTGCCTAAAATTTATAAAGTACAAAAATATTTATTTTACCAAAATTTTAAACCATTTGACCCAATATCAACTACAGCTTTCTAGGTCAAAAGTCAAGTGTATCATTCATAGTATCTCCCTGAATTTAGCAACATTTTTCTTGATTACAGGAATACGAC